AACGTGTCAAGCTCACATGTTGCTCTGTTACGGTTTAACTCCCACTGGGGGTGTTGAAAAGACCTATTCGAGGTCGAAACTGCAGTTAGCTCAACTCATATGATTGTGGGAAAATTCTTCTTCTACCAGTCCTTCATCACCTTAAACGAAATAGGGTGAACACAACTCATAGATGTGATTTACTAGTATTCTGGAAACTTTACTTATGGATAAAAAATAAATTTAGGAGATTGAATGGAGTCTGAATAGGTGAAGGGAATATATTGTGCGGTATCTTCATCTCTGCTTATCCGACAAGACTCTCTGATTTTGTCAAGTTGTTAAGCATTTGGCCTCAGTTAAGCTGATCCACTTAAGAGAGGATATTTGCCATTTTGCTCGATTTGTCATGTCAACCTGACGCTAAAGGACTGAAAACACTAATTATGTGCATTAAATATTGTTTCAAGACTACCAGTAAATCAGTAATATGTGATGTATTTACCCTATTTCGTTTAAGCTGATGAAGGACTGGTAGAAGAAGAAGAATTTTTCCACAACACTCTGAGTAGCCTAGTGGTTAGCGTGTCAAGCTCCCATCCTGCACTGTCTCGGTTCGACTCCCGCTGAAGGTGTTGATAAGACCGATGCGAGCTCGAAACTGCAGTCTACTCCTGCTTGGACGAGAACAACTTTTGGGAAAGCAAGGCTATGTGAAATTCAAAGGAAACGTCAACTAAACTCATATGATTGTTGGACAATTCTTCTTCTTCTACCAGTCCTTCATCACCTTAAACGAACTAGGGTGAATACATATTATATTACTGATTATATGAATCGAAAGGAAGCAATGTTACATTAATGAGATTGGTATTATTTAACTGTATTCTGTGCATACTTTGACATTGTGTTTTTCCAATCCTCACACATTAACTGACTTTCAGTTTGTAATTTTTTTAAAAAAAAGTTCCTTAACACATGACCTTTTACGATGTTCATGTTCCTTTATCTCTGTTAGGTAGACTTTCATTTTGTATGAAAGTGTATAAATAAGAGATAAGAATATCGTCTTCACCAGAAGACGACGGCTGATTTCCGTTGTTCTACAGCCTTGTTCGCTTTTATGCGACTTTTAGATTGACGCAGTCCACAAGACATCCTTCCTCGCTTCTGGTGAAAACGGATTGAGCTTTTGCACATGATATGACGGTCATTACCAGAACTGGAACTCATTCTCGTCAAAGTTTCAAGTTGACACGACATCAA